CACACACACACACACACACACACACACACACGCGCACTCAGTGCAGTCATGGATATTCATAAAACGTAAATGAGAAATTAGACTTTTTGAACCCCTCTATTTGGAATAAATCTTGAAATCATGTCCTTGAAGGAAACAAATATTCACTTTATAGTTTTTAAATAAATTGTTATCTTGGTTTGGTGCATTCATCAAATTGCCGGAGCTGATCAAACATTTCCAGTGCATGGTGTTATCTTAATGAACAAAATCTTCAATTTAATGAAAGCGGATATTCAAGGCTATTTCAAGGCTTTCCACTCAGTGACAGGACACAGGCAATTCCTTTTCTTTCACACCAAGAATTGTTTTGTCCTTGGTGGTCTTAAAAAGTGTCCGTGGGGTAATCATAAGCATCATGAAAATGTGTTTTTATATACATAAATTAATTGTTAAAAAATTTTAAGCTCTTGCGCTGGTGTAACAGAGATATTTGCACTTGAATCCTCCCTATAAACACACCACCCTAAAAAAGCCATTTGACCTTTTTCCATCAATTACTTTGAGATGTGGGTGTGAGTTGTGAACATGCAGAAATTCCAGACATAATCAAAGTAACAGCTAATAGCACTTTGCCATTTCAACTAGAGCTTTTAATATCGCAAAAAGTGCACTACTCCACTGCACTGCTAAATACTCAAGAGCTTAATTCAAAATGTTGTTAATGTTTCTATAAATGGGTGGAATTTGATTGTTTGTTTATCCCCCACTCCTTTCTGGAGGTCATTTATTGCTTTTAATTGGTCTCCTATAATGTACTATCACCACGTTTTCTTTTAAAGCCGGCTTTTCTCAAGAGTGCTTTAAGTAAATCTCTGCTATTTGGTATCTATCGCTGTGTTAATTCCAAAGGTCAGGGGTAACCTTAGCAACTCTGGTCGTGTTAATTAAGAAATGAGAAGATTTCACTGGTCACCATCCCTCAAGCTTCATATTGCAATAGAAGCTCCCTTAAAACGCTACTAAAAACATACTTTGAAAGGAGTAAAGAAAATATAAATGCCAGAAACCCTTGCATAAATAACTAGGAGTGGGAGAGCTGTCTCTCTCACCCCGGAACAAAAAAATGGTTGCTTAAAAAACCGTAGAAAAGGAAAGGGTCATCTGGTTTCCATTAGAAAGATAAAATGGTTCACGTTGAGCCTTTTACCAGCCTCTTTGTTTCTGGGAGGCGTCCATGCTTCTCTCTCCATCATCAGCCAGTTGACACAACATTAAAGGCTTCAAACGGTCAAGTCGGGCCCCTTAATCAAAAACTAATTGTAATAGATATTGGAGGAGTGCTAACACTCTGACCGCTCGGACTGGTATCAGTGGTCCAAAGCTTGAGATACCATTAAACACAACACAGACCTAATAGCTGCCACAGGGTATAAAGAAGAAACAGAAGCAGAGTGTGCTAAGTGCTACATGAGGCTGAAAAGGCACATGTGCTGTGAAACCACACTCCTTGAGATGAGTTCACCGCTGTCCTGTCAAGCTGTGTTAGTTAGCAACAAAAAAGGAATTTGAAAACAGGCTGAAAGGCCAGGAGAAAATGTCAGTTTGGGCAAAACACCCAACCGGCCGAAGAGTCTTATCAGTCCCAGGAGGATCGCTTCATATTCTTTTCCACAAAATATTTCTGGAGGACTCTGTTGAGGATGCGCCATGACACATTTCTTCATATTTTTTTACAGCTGTCTGTAAGTCATCTAAAAATAGATAGATGTATTTAGTTTTTTTACTTTTCATACATGATTTAGCTGTTTTCTAATTGTATGCAACATAATTTCTGTAAAAACACAGTAAAGAATTTGTTGTCTGCTTATTCTTTTGATATCTTGTGTTGATGAATCAATTAAATAGGAAATTGATAATACATATTTAAGATAGATAGATAGATAGATAGATAGGTAGATAGATAGATAGATAGATAGATAGATAGATAGATAGAGAGAAAGCAACTTTTAAAGATGCTATAAAGATGTTATATATCAAATGTTTGGAAAATTACAATGTTGTATGTTTTTGAAAAAAAGTCACTTATGTTCACCAAGGCTGCATTTATTTCATGAAAAATAAAATAAAAACAGTAATAGTATGTGAAATATTACTACAATTCAAAATAACTGTATTAAAATATTTTATTTATTTATTTATTTATTTTTATTCTTCTTCTTATTATTATTATTATTATTATTATTATTATTTTGGCAAAGCTTCCACACAAAAAAAAACTATAATAATTAAGCAGCAGCAGCACAACTGTTTCCTTTTGTTTTTTACAGTTCTGTTTTTTCTATGATCTGTATCTCTTTTTACAGTGAAATGTAGATCTGTTAATCTAATTTGTATTGTAGTTTCTTTTGTTTCATTAAATTCATTTTTGTCAGT